TCCGATTTTATCCTCGAACGAATTTCTAATAATATCAAATTCTCTTTCATCCTCGCACCGCTGATTTTCTAGCTCGTGTCGTTAACCATTGTCAATGTTGAGAGCTGCTAAACTTCGTCAAGAACAGTGTTACAGCGAACAGAGTTGTTTATAAACAAATTTTAACGAGATTAATTAAACAACTAAATTAATCGAAAATCAATTAACGAAAGGAAAAAATATTAATTAATAATATTGTTTGTTTATCGACGTGAAGAACGCAAATCAATATCAAAATCGAATCGAATAATGTGGGGTTAATGCAGGTAGTGAACACGTAGGTCGCGTGTGCTGTGTGATCCAAAAATCTATTAAACACTAGCTTTTCCCCGCGGCTTCGCTCGCAGAAATTAATATTGTTTCTCCATAAAACCTTTTAACTCCCAATTCACCCTTACAACGTTTTAATTTTATGTACTCTCGCCATCTTAGATTTCAAATACAAACGTAGCAACAACATTTCATCCTTAAGGGTTGATTTTTAAAAATTGCCAAAACACGTATTTGCTTATCTTCAACAATGAGCAACCTTCGAGTAAATCCGAGTACAAATAAAATATACCCCATGGAAACGTTGCAACCTCTTTTCATTTGGTTAATAATATCAAACAGCATATATAACAAGTTTCAAGTAAATTCAACCACAAATAAAGTATGTCCCAAACAGAAATTGCAAAACCTTTTTACCCCTTCCCCTTTGGAGGTTGAATTTTTTAAAATGTCGAGATAGGTGTTTCAAAATTAAATGAGAGACCATTAAGACCAAGTTTCAAGTAAATCTGACCACAAATAATATATGTTCCATTTAAACATTGCAACTCCTATTCACCACTCATCCCACACTGACAGAGATTGAATTTTTTAATCAGTTTCAAGTAAATCGAACCAAAAACAAACATGCAATCTTAACAAATGAAAGGCTAGACTGATGTTTTGACTGATAAATTTTTTGTTTTGCTGTCAATTTCGTTTTGTCATTCCATGTCAGTTGCGTTTACATATACCACATTTTTCTCGTGGAAAGTGATAAAAAGTATCCTATGTCCTTCTCCCGGTTGTAAGATACCTCCCCATCAATTTTCAGCCAAATCGGTTCAGCCGTTCTTGAGTTATAAGTGAAGTAACTAACACGACTTTCTTTTATATATATAGATTA